GATAATGGGCTTAAGTGAGCTTTATAACAAGTTTTGAAATCAGGAAGTGTGAGGCCTCTAGTTTTGTTCTTCTTTTTAAAGATTGTTTTGGCTATTCAGGTTTTGTTTGGTTCCATAAAAATTTTAGAATTTATTTCCATTTCTGTAAAAAATGCCATTGATATTTTGATTCATATTTAATTGAATCTGTACATTGCTTTGGGAAGTATATGCATTTTAATAATATTAAGTCTCCCAATTCATGTACATTGTCCATACCATCAATATGAGAACTATTGTATTCTACAATTATCAGTTACATATTTAATTGTCTTACCTACCAGATTTTGTATGACTTAATGACAGGGATTAATTTATTTATCCTTGTATTATTTAATACTTGGTAGAAACCAGTACATGCTTGTTGATGTTAAAAAAATATCTAGCTGCTAGGAGAAGAGCATAGGGGGAAAAGTATGGCAGGCTCATCATAAAGTTTTAATTTGATAATTAAATACAGGATTTTCATTTTCAGACAACACTTTTGGGGAAAGGGAGCATAATAAAACATCTATCTACAACTCCATCATCTCATTGAAGTGTTAGAATCAGAAATGTAAATAATTCTTCAGAGTGCTTTGAAAGTAGAAATTTCCTCTGAACTCCTCAGAAGGGAAGGGGACTGAAAGAAAAATAAAAGTATGGATGGTAATGTTTAAGCTTGCTTGGGCATGAGAGTGGATGAATTATATGCAGATGGACCCAGGAGAGAGGATGAAAGGGCTGATAAAAGCTAGTGATCTAGTTTCCAAGGCCAAACAGTAGTCTTGATATACGACCTGGCCTTAGAAGCTCACTTTGGAGTATGCTGGGTGAACAAGGCCTACCGGCTAATGGCATGACAACCTCAGTTTTTATGTATGCCGTCAGTAGTAACATGGCCAATCAAGCAATTGGGGACATTTTTCACAAAGTTAGTTAATTTTTGTGAGTCTAAAGGTTATTGTTGAGAAATGTCCATTTGTGGCAAGATCCAGGTTGGCACAGACTATATTATAATTGGTCAGGGGGCTGGAGTTCGGGGCTGGAGTTCAGGGCTGGAGTTTAGTCTTCAATAGTGGGGTTGGTGATAGTGAAATGGCAGTTACTATAAAAGAAGGGCAGAAGTTAAAGAT